CCGTGACGTAGGAAGTGGTGAAGGAAGTAGTAAAGGCAAGCATCTCGGACCGTGGGAACTGTTTATGACGATTAGATTAAGGTATCTGCAATCCTAAAATGCTATGGGAAGGGAGGGAAACAGGCCCACGACGTAGGAAGTGGCGAAGGAAGTAGTCAAGGCGAGCTGTCCGGAGTGTGGGAACTGTTTATGACGGGTAGATTAAGAGATCTGCAATCCTAAAATGTTATGGGAACGGAGGAAAACAGGTCCGGGACGTAGGAAGAGGTGAATGAAGTAGTAAGGTGAGCAGTGTGGAGTGTGGGAACTGCAAACCGTTTGTAGCAGTTATATTAATGTATCTGCAAAGCTGAAATGCCACGAGAAGGGATGGAAGCATCCCAACGACATGGAAAATGGTGAAAGAAGTAGTAAAGGCTAGCAGTGCAGAGTGTGGGGAATGTTTGTGGCAATTAGATTAACGTATCTAAAATACTAAAATGATATGGAAAGTGATGAAAACAGGTCCACGACGTAGGAAGTGGCTTAGGAAAACGTCTAGTATAAGCACAGTGTGAGAATCGTCTGTGACAGTTAGATTAATGTATCTTCAATCCTAAAATACTATGAGAAGGCAAGGAAATAATCCCCACGACGGAGGTGAGCAGTGTGGTAGAGATGTGTCGCTGCAGCTGGAACTACATTAAACCAAAGTTCCGAGAGTGGAACTCGTTCCACCGTTCCAAGCGGAACCACAATCCAGTTCCAGTTCCACTGGAACTACTTTTTCAGCTGCAGCTCGGTGGAACGATTTGAATGTAGTTCCGCACAAACAGCTGCAGCCTTTTTGTAAATTTCTAAAGATAAGTTCCGGAGTAACTGGATTTGTAAAACACATACAGTTAGTTACAACAAAACAGCTGCAGCTGGTTTATTAATACTCTCACTAAACATCAAGTTCTAGCCTGTGCAACTGATGCGTTTTGACTTATTTGGTCTAATCTACAAAGGTTCGATTAGCGGATATGGTTGACATGCCTTAATAGAAATTCATTTCCTGTTTTTTATTTTTTTCAGGCAGGAATTAAATAAAAGTACATCAGTCCCAGTTAAGTCGTGCTCATAATATATACAAATTTAATTATATCTTCCTCAGTAATCAGTATCGTGATAATTGTTTGTGTTTAACTTAATTCAGGATTTTTTCGCTATTAACTTTAGAATTTTATATTAAGAGTTAGTGTAAGAGGTGTTTGAATAATATTATTTTAACAATAAAAAAATGTATAATATGAATAATAAATGCATAATATGAAGAGCCTCTAAAATAATTTATACCGGCCTTGTCACGTATTATTTTTAGACCCTAGATAGACAAACTAAAATAATTAATTACTTTCCAAAACATGATATTGATTTCTTTACAGTCGCTATTTTGCATTATTTAAAACAATATTCATTCTAATTCAAGAACAGCTTAAACTAATCCGTCTCAAATTATGGTAATAAATTGAGATTTTGTTCATCCGCCCTTTTGCCTCGTTCCACAGCCATAGCTCCGCTGCAGCGGGAAAACCAGCTGCAGCGGGCAAAACTAGCTGCAGCTGGAACTGCTTTTGGAACGAGTTCCACGGCGACCTTGGAACTAGCTGCAGCTGTTTCGGCCAAGTAACTGCTTGGCACATCTCTAGTGTGGAGTGTGGGAACTGGAAACCGTTTGTAGCAGTTATATTAATGTATCTGCAAAGCTGAAATGCCACGAGAAGGGATGGAAGCATCCCAACGACATAGAAAATGGTGAAAGAAGTAGTAAAGGCTAGCAGTGCAGAGTGTGGGGAATGTTTGTGGCAATTAGATTAACGTATCTAAAATACTAAAATGATATGGAAAGTGATGAAAACAGGTCCACGACGTAGGAAGTGGCTTAGGAAAACGTCTAGTATGAGCACAGTGTGAGAATCGTCTGTGACAGTTAGATTAATGTATCTTCAATCCTAAAATACTATGAGAAGGCAAGGAAATAATCCCCACGACGGAGGACGTGGTGAAGGAAGTATTAAAGGCTGGCAGTGCAGAGTGGGGGAACCGTGTGGGCAGTTAGATAAATGTATCTGTAATCTTAAATGTTATGAGAAGGGAAGGATACAGGTCTATGACGTAGCAATCGTAAGGCTAGCGGTGCAGAGTGTGGGAACTGTCTTTGGCAATTACATTAATGTATCTGCAATCCTAAAATGCAATGAGAAGAGAGGGAAACAGGTCCACGACGTAGGGGGTCGTGAAGGAAGTAGTAAAGGTGAGCAATGTTGAGTGTGGGAATTTATTAATGTATCTGCAATACTAAAATTCTATGGGAAGAGACTGTAGACTGTGTAGGTTAAAATGATTACGAAGCACGAATCGATACATGCAATCGTTTACAATCGAAATTTACAACTGAGTTGGCAACAACTGATTTTTACTCCATAGAAGCTAAAAACGATTTTTACTCCCTAGAGAATAAAAATGCTACTTTAGACCCGCAACGCATGCATTAAAAACTACTGTTTTTACTGCAGTATGACAAAAACAATATAATATGAACCCTTGATGACTCCGCTCAATTTTGTGGATGCCTCTGCGAACGCCACCTAGTATTATAAAAAATACACAAATACCATTATAGCTGCCTCCAAACAAAACAGCTGTTACAACCCTACTTGCGATGTTGCCACTTTAAAGGCCGCGGCCTGGAGTAAAAGTTGGCTGTGGTTTTAAAAGGATACCCTAATTATGTTATTTTATATATTATTTTTTAATATCTATATATATAAAGCTCAAATACCACTGACTCATTCACTCACTCATCACGAAATCTCAGAAACCATAAGACCTAGGAACCTGAAACTTGGCAGGCATCTTCCTTTTGGGTAGTAGACGCTCAATAAGAAAGGATTTTACCCTCCGACCTCTGGGCTCCGCCCCAGTGGCTCTGGAGTTTCCCATGTTAACCTTATGAGAAATGGAATCTTAACAGCTGTTTCAATTAAACAAGTTGGTTCTGTTCTATGATGTTCAATATAGCATTAAAATTACAAGGATTACCAACAGGGTGCAGCACTATTATTTCTTTTACATTTATGACAACAGCTAATTTGCAACCAAAAGGTGAGTGAGGGTAGCGAACGAACTTCAACCAGGACGTCAGGACGTGATGGAGCAATGCGAACGAAATCATCTTGAAAATTAAGAAGTTAAACGGGCAAAGCCCGCGGGTTACAGATAGTACATATATGCATTTGAACGCTTCGTGTTTTTGGCCTATAGAGACCTCAAAATGAAATAGTAAATCGGTCCCGGGTCCAGGTCTTATCATGAGTACTAAAATCTGTAGCTTATTATGGGAAATTCGCTAAAAAGGGGATTCACTCCTTAAAAGAGTTTTTTTTGTTAATTTCCCCTGGTCAAGTACGTAAGTATAAGTTCTTTTAGTAAATGTGTGTCCATTGTGATGGTTAATGATTTTTATTTTCTTCTCTGCATGGTGTGTTGCAGGCTTAAGCTGGGTTTTCCTAGGCGCGGAAGCGGTGCGCGGAGAGAGGGATTAGGAGAGCGGACTCCTCTTGTCTTAGGTAATTTAATTTAATGTTACTGTTTTCCTAGAAGCGGAGCCATGTTAATTGCTTTTCCGCTCTCCGCGTCTAGAATTGACTTTTCCCTGTACCGTACATTTTTATGCTTTCAGGAAAAAATAAATCATTTTCATTCTCATTCTCTCTTATTCTCCTACGCTTGCCCATGATTAGGGTTGTTGACAAGCTAATGGGAAAAAGTATGTCAGATTGATGATGAGTTTATTTTGTTGCTGACACTTAGTTTTTACGATGATAAATAATGTAATTTCATGTTAAAAATGGTTAAAACCAGACAAAACAATATAGTTTACATCAAAGTATGTTTTATCTATGCATCAACACCACTGAGCTAAAATAATAACTGGAGGTAGCACTGCCATGGCAGAAGTCTGTCGAAAGCGTGTCGCTGATTTTGTTAGGTTGGTGTAGCAGCGAGTTTTCTTATTATAGCAATAACATGGCTTCTATAACTAGGCAGTGTGGCAACATAGCTGGCAGTGTGAGTATTTTCAGTTTTATAAAAATCGGTTTAATTACAATGTGATAAGTATAAGGTTCTCTTCGCAATTGTTCTTACTATGCGTTTTTGAAGCAAAAATATACGCTTCACCAAAGGACTATTCCCCATGAACTCACCATAATTGTATGCTATGGAAGCATCCAAAATAAACTTTCAACAGTACAGCTTGATCAACTATCAGTTGCAGCCTACGTACCATATGTTAAGTGGGCTTTATACTTGCGTGGCTACTCAAGTGTACAACTTCTGTGTTTAGCCAACAGCCCACATAGTTCCATATATCGCCAGTGGCGCGCTGAACGAGCCGCCCCTTAAACCGGTTTTGGACATTGCTACCAACCCCCAAGGGAATGTATGGAATCGTGTGGGAGTTGAACAACACAAACTGCTGCCCGTCCGCCACCTCGCTGCGCTTGTCTTCCATAGCTCACAGACTTTCACTTTACTACATAAATACTAATGGTCGGATGTCGTTCCGAACTCACACTTGCCCTTGTTATTACGATCGCTTAGCGCTGATCATCCAAAAATATAGAAACTGTTAACAAATATATTTTGGAAACGTATTAAATAGAGAGAGCATTCATGTATCTACTGGTTTAAATTTTAACTGTTTACTTTATAGAAAATGTTATACTATACCAATAATAACAGCTGTCGTACCACTTAAAGAAATAATAGAAATTGTAAAATGTGAATATTTTAAAACAATCTAAGAAAAGTAAAAAATTAAATTTATCTCCATAAGATTTAACAACGTTTCTATCTTAGTGCTCTACGTTCGAATAATATATCAGATCATTTTTTGCCAAGAATATATTTTGATGGATAATTAAATGAACACATCATACAGTTGAACCAAGATTTTATTAGTAATATGCATCAAATTGATTTGTTCCGATAAAATAAAGGTGTTCCATGTAATGAACCAAACAGACATAGCAATTATATTTACGAATAATGCTGTATTATAAACAACTAAAGGATATAACTAAACATGGTTGAATAAGCCAAACAAGACACAAGTAATTATGTTACGCTTGTATTGTATCATGTCCCTGGAATCACAAAGTGAGTAAATCAAAATTAGTACATTGCAAATAAAAATTAATATGTTTCATTAAAAAAGTTATGCGTTAAAATGTAAACGACCAGTGTTATGAGTAAAAAGAAAAGATTAAGTACATTACTATACATCTAAAGAAAATGGGACGTATGACCAACATTGTGAAACCTCTTATTATACAAAATGAAATCCCGTGAATAAGAAGTACAATCGTACAATACAAGATACAATACTGATGAATAAATTGTTAAACAAACCTTAGGATTTCGAAAACAAAATTAATCAAATATATTACACAAGAAGATAATACAGTACAACCTACATACGGATATGGTTTATTACGATATAATTATTACTGAAGACCGGTAAAACAAATATAAACAAATACAAATATACAATGCAGGATCTAAAATGAAATACTGTTCATCAAACGTACACACGGAAATAGTGTACAGCACAAACTGGCTATATCACATAATAATAATAATATTTACAGTTTATAGCAGCTTTTGCGAAGAATTAGGAACTAATAAATAATTTTCTAGTACTGTAGACGACAAATAATAAAATAAATTATTTTAAACTGTAAAATATACAAATACATTGATATGTAACTACCTATACAAAATGCGTATTAAAAATCAACTATACAACAACCCTTATGATGTTAAACCCAAATTAAATACAGTAAATAAAATAAATATTATACCTGAAGATGATACAGTATAACCTACACAAAAATATACAAATACAAATAAACAAAACAGGATTTAAAATGTAAAAAGCCGGATGAGATACGTCTGGTTATTTCCTCTTTAATTTGGCTTGTTCCATGGCCTCGAGTATGTACTGAGGATTGCGGATAGACATCGATCTTGTCTGCCTAGGATCGACAAGCTCAGGCAGCAGGCAGTCCAGGTAAAAATCTTGAAGTTGGTCTCTCATGTGACTGTCCCAAAATTCGTCGTCTTTCTCTATAACATCCATCCGCATTCCTTTAGGGGTCCACATTACGAAATAGCAATATTTACGTTGTGTAATGTGGAGCTGACCTTGGACCTGGTAGAAATAATTGTGTTTTTTATTAATTGCTTCCACCTCGGTTTTATTCCTACTTACATCCCAAAATGTAAATTTCCTCCTAAGAATCCCTTCCTCCGGTGTCAGTTCACTACAAGATGCAGGGCATTTTACCTCGACGATGCAATCATCTCCTACAAGACCATCTGGGGTTGCGCCGAGGTACGGAATGTCTTTGTCAACAAACAATCCGCACTTGCTTACGGTGAGGCCAGTCTTCTTTTCAAACGCCGTTAGGGCTTGCGTTTCATTTTCCCTTCCATAAAACATTGATGGAGTTTGTACATCACGGTACAAGAGATTTTTTACGAGTCCCGCGCAGCTTGTACTTTTCCGTCTTTTGCATACAATGCCAAAATTTGACGCAGTCAAAAGTTTTCTCCTCTCTTCTTTCCAGAGTCCGCTCCCAGCCTGTAACAGCGTCCCTCGTTCCAACTTCATTTTTTCCTCTTCAGTACGTTGGAGAGCTTCTAGAAATATTTGTTTTTTAATTTGGTAGATTTCTTCGGGCAAGTCTGCTTTCATCGCAGCTCCTCCATAGTGTCTGATTCCGTCACTTGTTTCTTTAGCAGGAACCTGTCTCTGTTTCCTCCTGTTAGGATTTGCAATCCTTCTTAAGGCCCGTTGTTCCAGTATTCTTTTCTTTTTTAGTTGGTGTCTTTTTAAAATCTTCCCTGGGCTTTTACTGTACATGTTCTTGTGGAGTTTGTATAAAGGAAGTTGACTGTTATGAGACACCACCGCTGCGAAACATCTAGCTTTATAGGATCTTTTCAGAGCAAAGTTGACCCTCTTCCCACCGATAAACTTTGCTACAATGGAGTTGTAATGTTCTGCAGTGTTGTTGTTCATTTTCATCATCAAACTTCTGGCATGGTCGGCAAGGCTCCCTACTGTTGACATTACTTCAGTGTAAATCCCAGCTTCTTTCAATTCTGGCACATAGTTCTTTTCGTTGTCTTTTGGACCATCACAAAAATACCCAATTTCACGGCATTTCAGATGCTCGCCAAACACATGACTAGGACTGTTTATTATATCCTTCATCAAACTTGAAACATTATTGACATTTTCCGAGTCATTTGTTTTCCTATGCTCGACTGCTTTTGTTACTGCAGTTCGCAGACGAAGAATATTTTTTTTTACAACATCTCTCAATGGTTTAGGTCCTAAACTGGTTTTTTGGCCGACTTCTTTGAGCTTGTTACAAAAATTTCGGAGCAGGTGGTTTGTACACTCAATTTTTTCAATTGTTAAATGCGGATAGGGTCTTGATTCATAGAGAGTGGCATACACGCTGGAGTCACCATCCGCTAACACTTTGCCGTACATGGCGCCGTACATCTCCATGCTGCGTGAAAAACCTTCCAGTATTATATCTGTCTCCATACCAGGTGAACTCCCAGTCCAGTTCTTGAAGCAGGCATGCTCCGAAGGGGGGCGAGCAGTCTTGGCAGCTCGTGCACATACAGTGCAATACTTGTTGCGGACTCCAAGGAAAATAACTTTCTTGGTGTTGAAGCCAACAATTGCTGCCTGTGGAAAAAACGTAAAATATGACCAAATAAAAATATACAATAAATTATTAAGTATTAAGTGATGGTGGTGATTAGGGAAAACAAATCGTAGGCAAACTACAAAATAAAAACCAATTACAGATAATTGTTCTATTGCGGTACCACTTCTTCAGAAATTGAGATTATTTCTTGTTCTTTTAATATGGATTTCGCATACGGTAATAGTTTTATGTCAATTAAAAATAGAACATATATGGAATTAGTTATTTGTGCAACTAGTGAGCAAAGTGAGCAATTGACTCACGCGAGTGGTTTCTCGAGTGAGGCAACAAGTAGGTTTGCTACAAAGTACGATTAGCTTATATTTAGTTTTTGGATTATTGCATAAAAAATTTAAAATGTTCTATAATTTAATGACAACGTTTTTAAAAGACTAGCAGCAAACCCCGCGATACCCGTATCAAAATACAATGGCGGTTATAACATCATTAGTGGGAGGAATATTTTATACTATTCAAGACCTACTTATATAGTAATAAAAACACTCCTGAATGATCTACAATGTTCTAAGGGCATCTATAATTTTGTACAATCTAGAGACATTTTTCTGGATTTTTTTTCTAGAGCATATTCCAGACCAACTAGTTTCACGCCCTTCATTGTTAGTTCATTGTTAGTGCACACACATTTTAAATCTTCCTTTTAATTTCCTTAAATTTAATATAAAAAAATTTTGTGATATTTGGCGAATTTTTGATAATTTACTTATTTAAGGTATTACAAGTGTTTGTAAACATGTTGCTTAAATTAAATAGTTAAAACTGTTAAATAGTTATAAAAATTAAATTAAGTAGTTAAAATGTAATGTTCAAAGTTTAATTCAAGTTTAAGTTAATTCAATGTTTAAGTCATTGAAAGTTAGAAGACAGTAATTTTTATGACAAAAACTTACCACTCCAGACAGAGAGTTGTAGTTTGTCCGGTAGGACCGCTTCGCCCAGCTCCCGTCGGCCACAACGGTCAAGATCGGCGTTCCGTCCGGGGTAACTTGACCTTCGGCGATGGCGTGTGCTATTTCTTCCGTTGCCGCTGACTTCATCTCTTCGAGCGCAGTATCTTCCCATCCCTTAGAAAGCGTGTCGTGGTATCCAGAATATGACACAGCAGACATTGCTGGAATTTCCATTGAAGAGAGGAGTTCTTGTAGCTGGGAATGGCCAATCCCAATACACATTGCACCAGCAACACTCGCGGTATTTATGCCCATTGATTCCCGTCTATCGTCCTCAGTAGACAATATGAATTGCATATTGCACATGTTGCACTTCAAAGTAAATTTTGACCGCAGCCCGTAACATTTTTCCTTTATTATGTTGCAGTTACTAATGGAACAACCCATCACTTTGTTGTGATTGTCAATTTCTTTGATTTGCCCATAAAACGATGCCAAGTCAACGATCCGGCGACCTGTTACAGAAAGTGGCACTGGAGTGTCATTGCAAATATTGGTCATGTCTTCTAGCGGGATAGGTCCTTCGAGTGTAAGGTCATTGGCGTCCAATCGACTACAGTTTGAATGTTCCATATCCTCGAGGGGTATAAGAGCTTCGCTGTCTTCATGGGCGTCGTCTCTGTTGCTGCTTGAATCTTCCATTATCAGCCTCCGGCGAGCTGGAACTGAGAATGGTGTGCTCGTGCCCGCTCTGTAATTAAAAAATGCCTTTATTAGTAAATGAAAATAATGAATGACATTACAAAGTGCATTGTTAATAATAAAATCACATAACTACAATTAAAACTCTGTGTTTTTGTTTTGTGAAATATAGATAAATAGGTGTTGATTACATTTTTACTTAACCCCCCCGACACTTTCAAGTTGACCTAACTAGAAGGACTAATACTATTTTTGTAAGGTGTTTTTATATTATGTTAGCTGATTTAGAAAAAAAGAATTTATTTATAAAAATAAATACATCTGCCTTAAAAAATAAGGTTGCCAATGACACAGAAAAATTGTACACATTAAATAGGGAATAAATGTTATATTTTTAAGTAGACATTTCAGTGTAAATCCAATCAGTAAAATGGAAATTCGCTTAGTCTGCAGGTTTGCTGCGGCGGGAGTATTTTAATTAGTTGTAAGCCAAACGTTACAAAGTGGCTTCGATTTCATTTATTCCATTCTTTATTGCATTCAACAATGTAATAAATCATTTGTTAGATTGCCGTTATATTGTTATTTCATTTATAATTTGTTTATAGCTTGTGTATTTATTATAATTGAAGTTTTTCTGCTTAAGCTATACCTTCGTGTTTTCAATTAGGACAAATGAAGATCTCCGTTGGATTAAAAATATATAACACACATTATGGTTTAGGCTAAAAAAATATATATCACTGACACGTGCTTATACGCTTCTGAGTGGGAAACAATACCCCGTGCGCACGGTCCCACTAAGTCGATTAGTGCCGGGTGAGTGGTCGAGTATAAGGAAGGCCCAAAGTTTACTTCGAGGATGGTAGAGCGTTTGGAGCGTTTTCACCCCGGGAGTAGCCGACTTGCCCTAGGCGAAGTGCCTTCTTATATAGGGGTGTCTGACTGTACATACAGTTATGAAATTGACTAATTTATTTTGTCTAGTAGTCTTTGTTGGTTATTGAACTTTAAACATAAGTATATGATTTTACACAATTTATTTATAATAGGCATACTTTTATGAAATTTAAAATGTAACGACAGCACAACTAAAAATAAGCCATTCTAATTTTTTATTAAATAATTTTTATAAGTATTCGCCAACAGTTGGGAATTTTGCCCGAACAATGGTAATACAGTATATATCAAATTCAAATCCATGACTAGTGGCGTGCAGGGGCAATTGCCCCTATTAATAGAGACTACAATATATAAAAAGACAAATATTCGAAATATGTTTTTAAAATTATCAATTTTATGTTACTTAAAATTAACAGTGTTTCTTGTTTTATATCTTGGTTTTCCTTCCGTTGGAGTCGTATATTAGTTGCTTCTGATGTGCCGATGAAATACAATGGTAAAATAATGATTAAATCAATAACACAACTTTAATTAAACAAACAACTCATTTTGAAACATTATTTACCAACCTTGACTTTCGGAATAAATGTAAACATTGCAAATAAATAAGTAACAGCTGATAGAATGCAGACGTTTTTCAGTCCCCATACATTCCTTATGGCGGGTTAGGTAAATAATATTTTCATCTGTGCTTGTACTTACATTTCACGATGGTTAAAAGAATCAGCTAGATCTGTCTCGGTTAGTCTGGTTCCCTCTTCCCCCTGACCATTATTGCAGTATGAATGGTCATTATGTCGTGGTTTGAAGGTGTCGTTGATCATTCTTGAAGTCACAATTTCACCGTTTTCTGTGCTTGACCTGGAAATAAAAGTAAATATAAGGAAAATATTAATAGCATAGAATAAAATCAATAAATTTACCAAGAATGATCAACATAGCAAACTACAACATTTTACAATATTCTCCTTCCTTATAAAAACATAATTTGTATCTATTTTTGAACAAGTGTCTTCCCCGCCTAAATCGTTCTTTTTTATTAAGTTATAAGCCAAACATTGCATACATTTATGAAATTGACTAATTTATTTTGTCCAGTAGTCTTTGTTGAATTTTAAACATGAATACTGTATATGATTTATACACTTTATTTATAATAGGCATATTTTTATGCAATTTAAAATGTAACGACAGCAACACCAAAAATAAGCCATTCAAGTTTTTCTTAAATAATTGTTATAAGTATTCGCCAACATTTAGGAATTTAGCCCGAACAATGGCAATATATTTATAATTCAAATCTATGATTTTCTTTGGGAATATTTCCTAACCAGCAATAGTTGTAAAATAATACAGTATTGTCATCTGTGCTTATACTGTACTTACATTTCGCGATCAGCTAGATCTGTCTCGGTTAGTCTGGTTCCCTCTTCCCCCTGACCATAATTGCAGTATGAATGGTCATTATGTCGTGGTTTGAAGGTGTCGTTGATCATTCTTGAAGTCACAATTTCACCGTTTTCTGTGCTTGACCTGGAAATAAAAGTAAATAAAAGGAAAATATTATTAGCTCAGTATAAAATAAATAAATTTGCCAAGTTTGATAAAAATATCCATAAGCAAGCTAACTACAACATTTTACAATATTCTCCATAAGAATAGCATGGGAATTTTAAATTTACAATATGTCACTTATATGATAATTGGACCTGTTTTTGTTTTCAACTTAAATCACTCAAAAATGGTTGAATTTGATGTGTTATTCAATAGTAACACACAAAGAAACTGAATCTATTACGTAAATTTATTTATTTATACTTCCAAATTCTGAAATCAGCAAAACTCAATTGTACAATGAGCGGATGTACCATGTATTTTTTAAACTACAAATTAAAACCATGAATTCTGCATTAATATTTTCATCTCACTATGGTGGCAACCTTGAGTTTTGAACGAATGTTGTTTTTGGCCTCTAGGGACCTCAAAATTAAAAATTAAATTGGTCCCGGGTCCAGGTCTTACCATGAGTACTACGGTAAATCGTAAAAAACATACTGTTTTAAATAGCAATAGCAAACTCTAGTACATATTTCTAGGTCCACTTTTTTACGACATAAGAAAAAGAGCTAAAATATGACAAACACCTCGTCATATAGTATTTTTAATAGATTTGTAATAGTATATTGCGTTACTAGTCCTGAAAATAAATGTTTACCGGACGAGTGTGGTCGTTCCCGTGCAAGATAGGCCTAACCATACGAGTCCGGTACACACATTTGGGACGAGTTACGTACGATAGTTTACGCCATAGTACTTAATTCGTACAAATCCTTATATATTTCCACCAACTAAAGGACTAAACATCACCAGTCATAACCTAAGAGAGGTTATGTTTTTGTATATCACCAATCATTGCCACGCAAATACAGTATAATCAGCTGATTGGTGTCCGGTAAAACTCATTGCAGAACAGTATTACGCAATTAAACCCCATTTGATTAAGCTGGCGGCAAACAGCTGTTTTCTGGACTAAATCCTTGCGTGGGAAGTTCGTCAAAATAATGTAGTGTGGCGTAAAAATATTTTACAATACTTTGTTTTGATGGTTTTTTACATAATTATATCTATTTTAGAAAATGTTTAGCTTTGTATACAATTGACTTGAACATACACAACTGCGTCTTGAAATATTAAACGAATTTAACTGTATTACACTATTAATAGAGATAGTAAAATATGTATACAAAATTGTGAATATTTGAATACTCTTACCTTAGAGGTGCACTCCTTGGTCCAATATTACCGCGTTTCTTCCGCTTCTTTTTCACTGAGGGAAAGCCACGAGTCTTTTTGCAAACTGGAGGCATTATCACTGTCACAAGAACAACTAATAACTGACGAACTGAAGGTTTGTGGACAAAGATATGTTGCAGGGAATGATCTTCCTGGAAGTCATAAGCCTAGCCTGTACATATTCACACTTTCACCCTTGCTCTCGGGCTCGGCCCAAGGGTCGCCTCTCGGCTCAGTGTTCTTGGAAATCAGTGCGGCTGTCGCCATGGGTAACGCATATTATCTAATCGCGTACATTTTGAAAATGTCACAAACAAATAGTGATTAAGTTGGCTGAAGCCATGCTTAGCCAAGTTATGTTATCCGCGATGAGTAACAATTAATTATGATTGTTAATGAACAAGTGTTACTATACGGTTAACGAAAACTAATATAAAACAGCTTGCTTTTGGTAACGATTTATAATTCGTTATATTTTGTTTAACTTGTAGCCTAGACATTAAAAAACCAGAAAAATCATAATCCTGTATGCGTTAGTTATAATCTAGGAGGATTAAACATTAAATCCTGATTATTGGTTATAATGTGATTTGATTACAGTACATTTACTTTTTCTGCATATCATTGCAATGAGCATAGTGGCGGAGGACTGATGCAAAGTGCTGTAAAATTGCCAGTTGATCATAACAGTAGTATATTATATAATAGCCTAAATTTATAATATATGGGCGTAATATGTGACACTCCTCCTTGCCACTTTACGTCCATAGAAACCCCCTAGCACAGAAACGTCTTTTAATATCTGTGTAACAACTTATCCCATAATTAATACGAGCTATGTTTGTTGGTCTGTAAATATATATCTCGAAATCCAGCGGAAGGATTTTGACTGAATTTTGAAATTAGGGACTTGTACACCTAAAAACGTGATTGGTGGCACACTACCAACCAATTTCGTATTTCACAATAAAACTCATTTAACAATTTTACATTGGCCTTTGTGGGTTGTCAAGTAATAGTTGGTTGAACAAGGACAAAGTAAACAACAGACTTGGCACATGTGTTTTACAAGCCATCCACAGTATACTAGCAAATTAAAAAATACACTGAGCTAAAATTATAACTGGAGGTAGCACTGCCATGGCAGAAGTCTGTCAAAAGCGAGTCGCTGATTTTGTTAGGTTGGTATAGCATTAAGTTTTCTTACCATAGCAATAACATGGCTTCTTATAACTAGGTTGCATAGCAGTGAGTATTTTTGTCATAGCAATAACATGGCTTCTTATGGACACCCACCTCACGCAAACATGGCGGCTGGCGACACGCATCTTTGACATTCAGTGCTACCTCCAGTTAGAATTATAGCTCAGTGAAAAAATACAGTAGGGTTCTAAGGGAAAAAGATCAGTTGATACATTGAGCAAAGATTACTCGGTATAGGGGAAAATCGTCCCGATAAAATACTGATTATTTTACTTAGCCCTCTCCCACCAAATTTAATCCACGAAGTACTGGGGCATTCCAAGTAAACTAATTACATCTGAGGGTTTTAATTGGCATAGCACTATTACCGCAATCCGTTATGCAAAATCACAATTAAAAAAACAGAGTCACAATTTATTCAAAAGTAGTAGCCAAAAAGCGAAAATCTTTGTCACAAGCCATTTAGAAACTAATTTAGTTTTGTTTGTATATCATATTTTGATCTGCTGTCATTGGTGACCGTAAAAGACGAACAACGGGTTTCAATGACTTGAGAGGAGAAAATATCTGTTCAAGATGCATTTAAACTACGAGAGATCATAAAAGTGTATTTTATTTTTGTTTGGTTGCCTATTATTAATGTAAGACTAAATTACTTACGTAATTCCCGTCACAGCTCAATAATGTTTTTGTCACAACTCAATGCATATTTTTGTATAAAACAGAGAACTATTAATTCAGTAATAATAATGTTTTTGTTAATTATAAAATTCTGCTTACGATTAATCGCTTTAGTTAATAATCGGTATAGTTGTAAGGATTAAACCCAATTAACCAAAACCAAACAAGACTTGGCCTCCATGTACTAAGTTGTAATAACAGAAATAACCGATTGCACGCACATAAAATAGTGATTGCAAACTTTAAAATCCAGCTGTTATTGAAGTTATACTTTTTATTGTAAAACCAAAACTGACAATATAAAAAATTATGGAAGGACTAATTTGATTCAAATGTTTGGTGTATTGCCATTTATTAGGTTTAATCATATTTATTTACGATATCGATTTTATTATTTTCTGAATGGTATAATTCCGAATATAATGTAATTTGACTTAGCCATTTATCAAGAATTACGATATGGATCGAGTAACAAATACTGTGTCTATTATTTTGATTCAAGGACACAATGGGCCTTTCTGGGGAACTACACCCGTCCCAATGGGCAGAGAAACAGGTTGGCAACACTGACGAATATCTCCTCGGTGGTGATAGTTCCATCAACGCTCACCAGAGCGTCCTTCGTACGGGGTGTTTTGCGAAGCGATTTTCATAAACAAGCCTCACAAATTCCTCAATTTATGAGTTAACTGTTGGTTTTTATGCATTTCTACTTAGCGGGAAATCATCTCAATAAACTAATAAAGGATTTAAAACGGAAAAACGTTCTAATTTTGTTTTAAAAGTTTAAGGATTGTGTAGAAGAAGATGACCAATTTTCATTAAGTTTAACCTTGAATAAAATATGTCTCGTAAAAGTTAAATACCTTAAAATATGTTAATACCCTAGTTTATTTCATGAGAAACATTTTGCCGTTTACCGAAAGTCGATAAGTGCTTTAATAAGCTCAGAATTTGAGTAATACAGAGGTGTGTTTTTCAGCCGTTCGGGATAGGTTTAGAGCCCTCTTAAGCCTGTGTCACACTTGGCTACTTACTAGCAGCTACCTAGTAGCAGCTACTGAAATAGCAGCTACTTTTCCTGTCACACTTATTTTGGTAGCGTCTATTCACTAGCTGCTACTACTAGTTTAGCTCAAGAGAGGTTATGTCCCAAAGACACGGATATTTTCTATACAGGTTCAAAAAATTAATCACATCCCCCCCACCCCACTTCGGATCACTCATGATTACTTCAGAAATTATTCAAAATGAACGAGAATAAACAAATCAAGCAGAAAGCACGTGGTGCAAGTAGCCGCTAGTCTGCTATTGAAGCTGTCACACTGGGCTACAGTCGCTACTTGATAGCTGCTAGTTGGTCACGTGACTCACTAGCGCAGTTTAGTAGCACGGAAAGTTGGACATGTTCAACTTTCCATGCTAGTAAAATTTCACTAGCGCGCTACTCTTAGTAGCTGCTACTGCCTATGTCACATTGGCTACTTAGTAGCTGCTATTTCGCTAGCTGCTAGTAAAGTAGCGTAGTGTGACACAGGCTTTACACACAGCTTTCAGTCTTGCTGCTGTGGCGTTCACTTGGTTGGTTCTGCCATTTTAAGTCACTGGCTATTGTCAGACCAAGATACACTTAATGGAGTCATCTACAACAATACTAGCTGCCTCAAGGCGAAGTAGTGGAATGCTTTCAGGCTTCTTACGGTTGTAGAATTGTATAGCCTTAGTTTTACCCCTCAGTATAGTATAAGATCGTTTTCTTTACACCATCCGCTCATTTCATTTAGGCCAGTTTGTGCCTTGTCTCTAGCCTACCCAAAAGTCACTGTCCTGCACTAAGTGACTCACATCATCAGCAAAGAGCCACACTTTCCCTTCAGTTAAAAATTCAGGTAGATCATTGACATAGATCAGAAACAATACTGGTCCAAGGTTGGAGCCTTGCGGCACTCCGGACACTCCGGAGTTTATGGCAGGGGAAATTGTAGAACGGTAGTTTCTTGTTATGTGTCATGGATGTTTGATCGATGTTTATATCATAGCTTCTCATCCCATTGTAAATTTTGAAGCTCGTTTTTCATGTCTAGTTCATGTACGCCACACTGGGCGCTAGTGTCGACGAAATTTTGTTTCTATTATTTTAGGGTTAATTTCTTGATTTGTGCTTTACTGTTTGGTTAAATAACTAGGAGACAATTTATTGTTTATGATTAGATCGTATTATTTGGTTAAACGAGGTTTTAAATGGCTGTATTAACGGGAAACAAATTGTAAACAAAACACGACATCTACAGAAAACCGTACAGAACTAACCATAAAATTGTCTTCAGCTGTTCCATAAGGATGAGAAATCTACTTGGGGGAGTATGTTTTATCATAAATAAAACCAGTAGATTTCTCATCCTAATGGAACACCTGAAGACAATTTTATTGTTAGTTCTGTACGGTTTATGTAGAGGTCGTGTTTTGTTTACAATTTGTTTCCCGTTAATACAGCCATTTAAAACCTCGTTTAACCAAATAATACGATCTAATCATAAACAATAAATTGTCCCCTAGCTATTTAACCAAACAGTAAAGCACAAATCAAGAAATTCCCTAAAATAATAGAAACAAAATTTCGTCGACACTAGCGCCCAGTGTGGCGTACATGAACTAGACATGAAAAACGAGCTTCAAAATTTACAATGGGATGAGAAGTCTACTTGTGTTGGTTGGTCTATGATAAAACATACTCCCTTGGTTAGTCTATAGTTTTATTTATGTTTATATTATAAAATTACAATAAGTTATAATTCGATTTTTTTACATTGAGACCCCTTTTACAGTTAAACAATTTAGATTTCATATTACATTATAATGCGAAAACCGTGGTGTACTTCCAAATTGATTTTTTTTTTTTATTATAGGTTATTCGAATAATATATTATGTATAATTTTGGCTTCCTAATTTATTTCTAGTTTCATCTGTAGGTAAATTTTGCTTTGTTTAATTGTTTCTGGCTAGCCTGCAAAAAGGTTGAGAAAGAAAAACTACGGAATACGGATGTCTTGATGTCTATTCTATTCTATTCTATTCTATTCCTCAATGGCTTGAGGCTGGAACCTCAAACTCAAACCTCAAAGTAAAGAAAAAACATTGTTCTGGAAACTATCATGTTTAGTTGATATTTATATTTGATTGTGTTGTTTAAGATGACAGATTTTAGAGAAGGAAAGTTGTCCAGAAATTACCTCAAAGGTAAATAAATGTTTTTATTTAGTTTATGTCTTATTGATTGTAGTGCTTGATATAATGCAAGATTATTGCGTCTGAAGTTGTAGAATTAGGCCTAGGCATGTTTAGGCCTACTTATCTCCTAAACTGTCTGTAGGTAATTTTCTTGGGAAGATGTTATTTTTTGACTAAGCCTACAGTTATAAAATATTGCTCCTCCAAAATTAGCATTGGTTGAAATAACGTGCTTGTACCAAATCCAAAAGTCTTGACATAAAGTAAGGGTCCAATGTTTACATTTGATTTAGGCCTATTTCCTTATCATCATCATGATCCATTTAGTAATGTAAAAACTGTTAGGCCTATTGGATCTTAAACCAATGAGGCATATTTCAAATAGAACCAAATATAGCCAGGCCTAACTTACTTCATACAATTTAAATAGGCTAGGCTTAGCATAGATTTTCTATCCTGAAGATTTTCCATTGATGAAGACTCCCATTTACTGATCTAACCTAGGCTATAATTGATTGTTTCTCTTCGGCCTGAACAAATCCCAAACTTGTAGGCCTAAGGATAACTTATAAGTTATAACTTAGTCACTCTTGTTAAATAGGCCTTAGGCCCTAAGTAAGTCTTAAGTTATCTCATCATAAGTTATAGCTCACAACAAATAAACTTAGGCTAGTTCTAAATTCGCATGACTAGAAAAAAGAAGAAAGAAAAACATGCTTTATTTTTCACCAAAACATTGACAACATTAACCCTCCGAGTGTCCCTTGTTTTGGCCTTAATGTCTGCCTATTTTTTGCTCATTTGCAAGGTTTTATTAAAACGGATCTGAGAAGCTTGAAAACAATGTTAATTATACTGTTCTATATACCATTTTGTTTGGAAAATCATGGGCTTCAATATTATACATAGAACATAAGGAACATTTGTTTCAAAAAAATTTTTTAGGTAAAAAAAAAATATATTTTGGAAAATTAAAAAAGAAAAATAAGTTTGCGCTCAATGAAATTGTTTAAACTATAGGCCTATAAATATTTGAAAATAGCCACTTTGTTCTAAATTTTATGAGGATTACAAATATATAATAATATAAGGAAGTAGATTTGCAAATAAATAAGTTATGGGCGAAAAACAGATTTCAGTACATAGGCCTAGCGTTTAGCTAAGAATGCATAGCCTAACCATAGCTAGGAATCTGGCTGATTATTTACATCAATATCACTACATTATACTTCTTCAGGATCATCAACCAGCCCTTCAAAATCACTTAAATCTTCTTATAATGCACCACGTATATCACTACTTTTGATTTTTAACACTAAAACAATGATAAACGTAATAAAACACATCAGTCATCGGTCCGAGGTTAACTAAGCTGTTTACAAATACGCACGTCTGCTGTCTGCTACAATATTTTCGGAACTAAAATGAATAGCGCTTAGAGACAGACCTCCGGAGAAAGCTCTGAATCTGTCAAATAAAACGATAGGCCTACCTAACTCGATCTAGTTCAATCCGATTTTGTCAGTCATAGAGCCTTCGCCGTAAACAGTGTTTATGAGTCGCTGCAGCGACACAAAACACTACACAAAGTAATTTACTGCTGTCTCACCCAAAAATAACCAAAACCGGCACGCACGGAGAGCACCATGTCTTTGGTTTGCCGATAGCCAACCAGCAACTAGCCTACAACGAAAATTAAAATTACTTTGTCCAACAAATACATATTGATAGGTATCCACATATTTCACCAGGAATCATCCCGTTTCCTATAATGTCCGAACGCGATTTTCCGACACAATCAGAATGAAAATGAATCACAAATTTGAGCTACGTCCTCCTTTGTCACTACTTCACTTTGAACTAACAACATGGAGTCATGGAGACAGTTCTAAACAAACAACTAACGAAGAAACCACCAGCTAATCAGAGAACTGCACGATTACGTATCACCACTCACCAGCTGTTTCACTACGGATTCTGAATTAAAAGTAAATATTAAATTTACTAACATACTAACATAGAAACCATCAGCCAATCAGAAATCTACACAATTACATCATCTGTTTTGCCAGAAACCACAAACAATAACAATGCAGTGACAGGTCACTGTACCACAATTACCCCTAGAATTCCCTCATTTGAACCAGAATTCCCTCTGTATTCCCCATAAAATCCTGGTTTCAATAATATAATAGTCAATAGTCAATAGAAAAAATAATTGTTTATTATGAAATGAAACTGTTCTAAAAGTAACCAAACCAACCAAGTTTGCTGTATGATTTAAAATCGGTTTTATAAGAGAACTCGTTACACAGATACAACCAAACAGTAAAGTACAAACCATAAAAATAAATAACAAATAAATAACCCTATTAATAAATTAGATTTTGTAGACACCAGCGCACCCAGTGTCACCAACATGAACTACTGTAAACACGATATAAACGAGTAACAACTTGTGTTTGGTTAATTCCATAGATATGTTTATTGAGCGGAGCGAGCGAAGCTCTTATACGTCGACTTTTATGCATTTCGTAATACGCAAACTCCTCCTAGACGGCTGAATCAATCGTTTTCAAATTTTGGGTGGTGATAAAGACCATATCGGTGAGTGCCAACATCTATATGGCGTTAAAAATAACTCTCAGGAATCCGCCCCACTGGGTCTCAAAGTTTCAATGTAATCCTTATGGAAGCAGTATTTGACACATAAATAAATACATATGATCAGCTGTTGACTTTTGAATGCAGTAGATAAAGAAATAGCTGATAGCATTATTCCACAGATATTAGAACAGAAACGGTATGAATCATAAATATAATCAAATGACGACACTAGCTTGAGGTCCGTGACGTAGGAAGTGCTGAAGGAAGTACTAAAGGTGAGCAGTCTGGAGTGTGGAAACTGTTTATGACGATTAGATTTAGGTATCTGCATTCCTAAAATTATATGGGAAGGGAGGAAAACGGGTCCGCGACGTAGGAAGTGATGAAGGAAGTAGTCATGGCAAGCTGTCCGGAGTGTGGGAACTGCTTATGACCATTAGATTAAGGTATTTGCAATCCTATGATGCTATGGGAAGGGAGGGAAACAGGTCCCTGACGTAGGAAGTGGTGAAGGAAGTAGTATAGGCAAGCAGTCCGGACTGTGGGAACTGTTTGTGACGATTAGATTAAGGTATCTGCAATCCTAAAATGCTATGGGAAGGGAGGAAAACAGGTAGGCGACGTAGGAAGTGGTGAAGGAAGTATTTAAGGCAAGCTGTCCGGAGTGTGGGAATTGTTTATGACGATTAGATCAAGGTATCTACAATCCTAAAATGCTATGGGAAGGTAGGAAAACAGGTCCGCGATTTAGGAAGTGGTGAAGGAAGTAGTAAAGGCAAGCTGTCCGGAGTGTGGGAACTGTTAATGACGATTAGATTAAGGGATCTGCAATCCTAAAATGCCATGGGAAGGGAGAGAAAAAGGTCCGAGACGTAGGAAGTGGTGAAGGCAGTAGTCAAGGTGAGCTGTCCGGAGTGTGGGATCTGTTTATGACGATTAAATTAAGGTATCTACAATCTTAAAATTCTATGGGAAGAGAGGGAAACAGGATCGCGACGTAAGAAGAGGCGAAGGAAGTAGTAAGGTGAGCATCCGCACTGCTCACCTTACTACTTCCTTCGCCTCTTCTTACGTCGCGATCCAGTCCCCCTGTGTGGGAACTGGGAACCGTTTGTAGCAGTTAGATTAATGTATCTGCAATGCTGAAATGCTATGAGAAGGGACGGAAGCATCCCCACGACATAGAAAATAGTGAAAGAAGTAGTAAAGGCTAGCAACGTGGAGTGTGGGGAATGTTTGTGGCAATTAGATTAACGTGTCTAAAATACTAAATTGCTATGGAAAGTGATGAAAACAGGTCCACGATGTAGGAAATGGCTTAGAAAGTAGTAAAGTATGAGCATAGTGTGAAAACCGTCTGTGGCAGTTAGATTGATGTATCTTTAATCAAAAATTCTATGAGAAGGGAAGGAAACAAGTCTATGACGTAGGAAATGGTGAAGGAAGTAGTAAGGCTTGCAGTGCAGAGTGTGGGAACTGTCTTTGGCAATTACATTAATGTATCTGCAATCCTAAAATGCTATGGGATGAGAGGGAAACAGGTCCACGACGTAGGGGGTGGTGAAGGAAGTAGTAAAGGTGAGCGTGTTGAGTGTGGGAATGGATTAATGTATCTACAATGCTAAAACGCTATGGCAAGAGACTGTAGCACGAATCGATACATATTTTGATACATGCAATTGCTTACAATAGAAATTTACAACTGAGTTGACAACAGCTGATTTTTACTCCATAGAGGCTTAAAACTATTTTGACATCCTAAAGAGTACAAATGCTACTTTAGACCCGCAACGCATGCATTAAAAACAACTGTTATTACTGCAGTATCACCAAAACAATACAATATAAACCCTTGATGACTCCGCTCAATTTTGTGGATGCCTCTGCGAACGCCACCTAGTTTATTTGTTAATTCCATACTCCTTGAAGAGTTTGTTTTCTCTATGTATTCGTAACATATGTCTGCAGAAATATTGATATAGATTCGATTCAATATATCGTTTCTAAAATATTTTTATTTTCAATGTAAACAAACATGGAAATAGATTATGATCTGTTTATATGTTTTATTGATGTTTTGAATGTAAAAATTCAGTTAAGATTGGTGTAAGTTTTTAATGAACTTGAATAAATGAATATTCAAACAAAAAAAGACTGAAAACTAAACTTCATGTTTTTAGAGGTAACTTAAGGATAGGCTAATCACACAGGTGATAGATGTTACACCACTTTTTATTGACCTATTTAAATATTTTTAAAGCCATTTTTTGACTAAATGTATAGGATAAAATAAACAAACAACTTTATTTTTACTTTGTTATTGTTTTTATTTATATCATATGGTACAATACAATTCTGATGGTCTTCCTGTCTCTGCCGGCTCTGCTCGTCGTTGGCGGCGG